TTTACTCATAATTTTTATCAAGATTTTTAATGACCTCCAACTTGGGTGAAAAAGTCCATAATCACAGACTAGTCCGGATTGTTGTTTGAAATGATAGACAGTTTTGTAAAAATCACCATAAATTGTAGAAAAATCGTATGGAGATGTGTGAGTAGTCATTTTAAAGCTAAGAACTTGAAATATTTTCACTTTGTACAGTTTTGAAAACAAAAATGTTTAAGATGCCCAAAACAGTCCGTGAATGGAGTTGAACTTTTCTGATGAAGGCTGTTAGAAAATTTTAGTTATGTTCTTGGTGTTTTAACTTGTATTCCCCCCTTAAAAACTTGAGAAAACATGAAAATGTAGGGGTATGAACTCACCTTAAGTGATTTCAGTAGATGATTGTTGAAGAATGGAAGTGTTTAACTCAAGAACACTTGGAGATGTCTTGAAGATTTTTGAGAATCTAACATCATAGTTATGAAGTTTGTGTAAGCAATCAATGATTTGAGTAGAATGAAGTGAAATAATCATAAGGAGGATGAATTATACTTACTAAGAGTGGAAGAACACTTGAAAATCAGCCTTGAATCTCGAAATTGGTGTAGAAAAAGTTTGAGAGAAAATTGGTGTTTGATACTTAGTGAAATGAGAGCAAATGAGAGAAATGAGGAGAAAGGATGTTTGTTCCAGCTCTAAAAACGTGGGAATGAGTGTAAATTGAGTGTAAGGGATATTGAAGTGACCTAGGTTAGGTGGGGAGGTATGGCTGGTCATAGAGTGGGTGTGGGGTGGTTGCTTGTGACATAAGTTAAAGCAAGGTCAACACTCCACCTTAAATAAATCCCCCATTAGATCTTTATTATTAGATAATGATTTTCATCAAAATATGTTTAAATTATGAGTATTTAGGGTTTATTATGTTAAAATATAATTTCTGGAGAAAATCCCGCTTTAAAAGCACGAAAAACGGGCTTAAAATGTTAAAAATATCAAAAAGGGGCTAAAAGTGACAATATTCCGAATTCTGGCCGAGGTTCGGCCTTCTGATGCTAGAACCGAGAGGAGAGAGGGCAGAAACCGAGAGGGGAGAAGAGAGAGATCAGAAACCGAGAGGGGAAGAGAGAGGAAGCAGAAACCGAGAGGGGAGAAGAGAGAACAGAGAGACGCGAAGAGACAAAGAGGAGAGAAGGAGACAAAGACCGAGAGGAGGGAAGAGAGAGCAGAGAAGCGGGAGGCGAACAGAAGCAGAGAGGCGACAGAGAGGAGAGAAAGCGACAGAGAGCGAGAAGCGACAGAGAGCGAGAAGCGACAGAGAGGAGAGAAGCGACAGAGACCGAGACTCGGTCTCAGCTACAGGGGTTCGGTCCTCCGGGTTCAGCCAACAGAGGCTCGGTTCGGTCCTTGCTACTTTCGGTTCCTAGGTCTCGGCCTTAAGGAGCTTCGGCTCCTTGAGAAGGGTTTCGGTTCCTAAGGTCCATTTTTCTCGTTTTTACCTCGTTTTAAGCCGTTTTTGACCCGGTTAAGGGTCAGAATGACCCGAATGATTCTAAAAAGTTACGGGAAACTTTTGAGAGAGATTTCACATACTTGGAGAGATTTGGGAGAGATTTGACATTCTTGGAGAGATTTCTCATACAAGGAGATATTTGAGAGAGGTTTCACATACTTGGAGAGATTTGGGAGAGATTTGACATTCTTGGAGAGATTTCTCATACAAAGAGATATTTGAGAGAGATTTCACATACTTGGAGAGATTTGACATTCTTGGAGAGATTTCTCATACAAAGAGATATTTGAGAGAGATTTCACATACTTGGAGAGATTTGGGAGAGATTTGTCATAGAGAGAGATAGAGTGAAAACGATTGAGGGAGGTTCCATGTGTGACAATTGTGAGTGTTTGGCTCCGCAATGCAAGGTTCTTGAGCCCCGTTAAGTCATGATTAAGGATCCTACACACTCCCGATGAGTATGCAACATGGTTTTTATCAGTTTAGTTCATTGATTAGCACTAAGGCCTAGGAAATTTTAACACAAGACTTTTCCCAAGTGGTGTTTTCCCATTAATATAGCAAGTTATACAGTATGAACATAACACAAACCCTAATACACAAGGTTTAATTGAGTTGATCGGTTTGACTTGATGACTTGACTTGACTCAAGATTGATGATTGTCACAAAGCAAGGTCATTTAGAACATATATTAAAACATATAATAATCATTTTTCCTTCACTTCAGTTGGTGTTATTGCTGACAAGAACCTAACAAGAAGAAATAAGCGTATTTACACTTTTAGAGTCCAATGTCAAGTATATCATTTCGTAAATGATTTATCCTAAAGAGAAAAAAGCTAAAAACCTTCAATTATATTTTCACAATACTGAGAACGAAATAGAAAATTGATTAATATCTTCTCCACGGTTATCTAAAGATTTAATTGCAAAATGCATAACCTATCTACATCATAATCCATATGCACGCTTTTTTTAAAATTTAAGAGACATTCCATTTTTAGATGAATATAGGATTATTCTTAAGACTATACCAACACAAGATCAATGCGTGTATAACAAGCCTGAAGTTGCACAAGTTGCAACTCTTTAGGTTGAAGGCAAAGAGAACGGAGAACATGGTAAAAGAAATATTGAAGTTAGAACACATAGTAACAAACCCAAGAGTGTTGAATATTATTATGGTTGTTACTATCCATTACAGTACCCTTTAATGTTTCCATTTGGAGAACTTGGTTGGCATCAACATATACCTAAAAAGAGTGCCAATGAACAAACACACAATAGGATAGTTACATGTTCCGTAGAAAGCCTTATCTCACCCATGGGAATCACAAATGTCAACGAATTATTAAATATGGAAGAGTCAGGTAAATAAATACAGTTTCAATTTTATTTTTCCTTGCTTCATGCAAATTAATTAATTTTTCTTAACAGTGATGACAAGAAGTTCTGAAACTTCGAAATATGTCTTTATTAGAGAATATTGTGCCTACAAACTTCAAATTATTAAACATAACAAATCTTGCTTATTGCTTTTTGGTCGATTATTACAACAATATATCATTGATAGTTATGTGAAATTAGAAACACAAAGATTAGCTTTTTTCAGAACACAACAACATGAGTTACGACAAGAGTTCCTTCAAGGGGTTATAGATGCACTAGCAAAGGGTGAAACTAATGCCTCAGCTATTGGTCGTAGTGTGCTTTTACCGGCAAATTTTATTGGTGGTCCAAGGAATATGAGACAAAAATACATTGACGCAATGACATTAGTGCAAAATTTTGGAATGCCTGACATTTTTCTTACATTAACTTGCAACCCTAATTGGCCAGGAATTAGGCAACACATGATGCTTCAAGAGGAAACACAAAATAGGGCCGATTTAATTGTAAGAGTTTTCCATGCTAAACTTGAGCAATTTAAAAAATAAATTTTGAAAAAGGAAATATTTGGAAAAGCTGTGGCATACACTTATATGGTAGAGTTCCAAAAGAGAGGTCTTCCTCATGCATATTTTTTACTTATACTTTCATCTCATTATAAGATGTATCATGCATAAGAATATGATGAGATAGTTTCTACTAAAATACCCGATGAAAAGTCAAATCCTCATCTATTTAGAATGGTGTTGAAGCACATGATTCACGGTCCATGCGGTGATCTTAACCCACATAATGTTTATATGAAAAAAGAGGCTTTTGCAAGAATTTATATCCAAAAGCTTTTTGTTGTGAAACGAACCAAACTAATGATGCATATCCGACTTATAGAACACGTGACGATGGAGTTAAGGTTATGGTTAGATGTGCAAAGCTTGATAATAGATGGGTTGTTCCATACAATCCCTATTTACGATGTAAGTTTGATTGTCATGTTAATTTAGAAATATGCTCAACAATAAAGGTAGTGAAATACATATATATATATATATATATATATATATATATATATATATATATATATATATATATATATATATATATATATATATATATATATATATATATATATATATATATATATATATATATATGCAAAGGTTTTAACAAAATAAGTTTTGCAGTTTCATCAAATGACCATCATGAGGCAATAAACGAAATTGATCAATTTCAAGCAGGTAGGTGGATTTCACCCCCCGAAGCAGCTTAGAGAAATTTTAGATTTTCATTAGGCGATATCAAACCTGTATTCATTCATTTACCCCTTCATTTAGAAGATTATCAACCAATAACCTTTAAAAAGAAAGAACAATTAACCAATATTGTTGCCAATTCATCTAAGAGAAAAAACTATGCTTACTGAGTTTTTTGTTTAAAACAAAACAGACAAATTTGCACAACATCATAATTTGACATATGTAGAGCTCCCAAGCCATTTTGTATGGAAGTCAGATAAGAAGATTTGGTCACCTAGACAAATATAAAAATCAATATGACGTATAATGCTTGCTCATCCAAGTGAAGGCGAGAGATATTATCTACGGATACTTTTATCCAAAACAAGATGTCCAAATTCATATGATAGTCTTAAGATTTGTAAAGGATTCAAGGTTGCTACCTTTCGAGAATCTGCATTACTACATGGATATCTACTTGATGATAAGAGCCAGAAAGTATGCCTACAATAAGCATCAGTTTACCACATGCCATATGAATTACGAAGACTTTTGGCAAGCTTGCTTGTATACACAATTCCATGTAATCCTCGTGATTTGTGGCTATCTTTTGAATCTGCAATGTTGGAAGATTTTCTATACTGCAACGATTATTCAAAAAAAGAAGCAAAACGAAACACATTTAAGGAAATTAACACCTATTTACAATCAATAGGAAGACAAATTTCATGAATTTGATATATTGCCAGATGATTTATCATATACTGATTTAGATGATCAAATAGAGGAAATAATCGCAGAACATAGTATTATTGTATCAGATGACAATCTAAAATCAATACATAATCTTAACAAAAAACAAAAAATTGCATTCGATACGATAATGGGAAAAGTAAAAGCCAATAAAGGTGGAGCATTTTTCATTGACGATCCAGGGAAAACTTTCCTATATAGAGCATTGCTAGCAAAAATCAGATCAGAAGGATATATTGCATTAGCTACTGCAACATCAGGCATTGCTGCATCATTACTTCCGGGAGGTACAACAGCTCATTAAGATTTAAAAATACATTAGATCTAATAGACGAGTCAAATTGTAGGATTAGTAGGCAATGTTCTTTGGGTATATTAATTAAGATCTGTCAATTGATTATTTGGGATGAAGCTCCCATGGCAAAACGATCTGCATTAGAAGCTCTAGATGACTTATTACAAGATCTTATGGATTCAACAGAAATTTTTGGTGGGAAAGTGGTTGTACTTAGTGGTGATTTTAGACAAACATTGCCAGTTGTTCGAAACGGTAACAAGTCGAATACAATTGCTGCCTGTTTAACTAACTCTCATCTATGGCAATCACTGTCTCTACTATAACTAGATGAAAACATGAGGTCATTTCTAGATCTTATGTTTACAAATTTTCTCCTAAGAATAGGTGATGGTAAAGAAATCTCAGATGATAATGATTTTGTTACTCTTCCTACACAAATCATCGTAGAAAATAATGCTGAAGCAAATCAGTTAAATGTTCTTATAGACTATGTTTACCCTAATATATTTAGCAGTTCAACCAATATCCATTCTACCTTGAACCGAGCTATATTGACAACAAAAAACAATTTTGTACATGAGATCAATGATATCTTAATACACAAATTCCCCGGTGAAAAAATAAAGTATATTAGTTTTGATGAAACACTTGATCCAAACGATCAAGCCCATTATAAAGATCTTCTTCACTCTTTAACTCCAAATGGTATGCCACCACATTGACTAGTTTTGAAGAAAAATGCACCTATAATATTATTAAGAAAGATGAATCCTACGAAAGGATTATGTAATGGTACATGACTCTTTTGCAAAGATTTCAGTATGAATGTTATTCGAGCAGAAATTTCAATTGTAGATTTTGCTGGGAAACAAGTATTTATTCAAAGAATACCTTTACAACCACCAACAGGCGAAGAGTACACAGTTCCATTCAAAAGAATGCAGTTTCCAATCAAACTTTTCTTTGCAATGACAATTAACAAAGCACAAGGTCAAACCCTAGATTGTGTAGGTGTATATCTAAAAGAGCATTTTTTTCCCACAAACAATTGTATGTTGCTCTATCACGAGTTAGAACAATTCAAAATGTTAAAGTTGTTATCAATCAATCACAACATTGTACTGACACCCAAAAAACCAAAAATATTGTATATCGGGAAGTCTTACAATATGCTAACCAGGTGTACATTTCTACATCCAAAAAATACTTACAATTCTTGTAAAAACTTTACAATTTTAACATAAAAATAGCCAATTAATGAACGTTTCAATTCAATTTTGCAAGTCAAATATCACATCAAAGATTTAGGAACTTAGAAAATTATAAGAAGGTACACATGTGATGTTTACAACACTCATGGTAGCAGTTCAGTTAAAAGCTCATTTACTGTACCCTGTTGATATCTCCATGAATCATATTGAAGGTTTGTTAATATTTTAGATGTATTTATTTCGTGGCAGGTTAATGTAACATCAATGTACTAATTCTACAACGTTTGTATATTTTTCTTGCAATTGAATTGTATATTGGATGAGGCATGCCTGTAGCAACATAAGTTTTCAAAAGCATCCTCCTAAAGGAATTATAGCAACCACACAACTAATGGGATATATATATATATATATATATATATATATATATATATATATATATATATATATATATATATATATATAGGAAAATCTCCAGAAAAATCCTAAAATTTAGTTTAATTTACGAAAAAGTCACAAACAAAATTTTATTTACAGAAAAGTACAGAATACCGGTTAAAACTTCAAAAAAACCCTTTTCGGCTGGTTTCGCAGATTTTGCTGGTATTCTGTCCTTTTTCGTTAGTTTGTTTAAAATTTTAGGACTTTTCCAAAAATTACATAATAACCAAAATATTGGGACTTTTTTGAAAATTACCATGAAATTAATGGATATTATTATCAACAAATCATTTATAAACATAAAAAATATTTTTATTATAAAAAAAAGAAAATACATTTGTTGCTAATTTCTAGGAATAAATTGGTGGTCTAAGTACTCTATTGCTTCCTGACCATTCAAACTCTCTACATTCTTCCTATGCATAGTTGTGGGTATGATGGTGAGATTAACTTAGTTAGCATTCTTCTAATGTTGGTATTCCTCTTATGTTGTTTAACCTAACTACAAACCAACATTCATATCTTACATGTTAACAACCATCGGCTAACACATATCTATAAAATGTGAAAAGTGAACCGTGAATGATAATTTATACGTAAACAAGTGAAGGGTTATTATCTATTCAAATTGTCATTCAAAGTTTATTTTTCACTCTCGATAGATGTGTGTAATTTTATGGTTGTTACTGGGTAATGTTTGGAGGTTAGGTGGTAGTTAGGTTAAAGAACATAATGAAAGATCTATATGTTCGTGTAATGATATTTTCTGATAAAACGTGATCATATAACATCATGCCTAATAGCAAGTAAACACTTATTGATTATGTATTAATATATATTATCAACTATTGTATTGGCCACGCCTAACAGAGCACTTCTCACTATGACACCCATAACGATACATAGGAAGAACATACAGATTTTGAAGTGGTCAACAAACAATAAAGAAGTACATAGTCGACCATTATATTCCTAGAAATTAGCAACAAATGTATTTTCTTTGTTTATAATAAAAAAAGTATGTTTATAAATGATTTGTTAATAATAATATCCATTAATTCCATAGTATTTCTCAAAAAAGTCCCAATATTTTGGTTATCGGGTAATTTTCAAAAAAGTCATAATACTTTGAGCAAACTAACGAAAAAGGACAGAATACCGGCTAAATCTACGAAACCGGCCGAAAAGGGTTTTTTCGAAGTTTTAGCCAGTATTCTGTGCTTTTTTGTAAACAAAAAAATGGTCCGAGACTTTTTCATAAATTAGACTAAAATTTTGGGACTTTTCTAAAGATTTCCATATATATATATATATATATATATATATATATATATATATATATATATATAGATATACCCTTAAGGGTATATAAGCTTACCCTTAAGGGTATATAAGCTTAGGTACCCAAACCCATTATAATAAGTCATTTTGTTTAACATATTCATTATAATGTTCTTAAACTCCAACCCTTGATTTGATTTACTTTCAAAATTTTCAAAATTTCATTATTATCTTACTCTTACATCACATCTTTTTGCCAAACACCTACTAGGCTATATATATATATTATAGTTGAAAATGAAAATTATGTAAGAGAATATAAATGTGAAATTGATAAAAATCTTGAAAATAAATCAAGTTAGAAGTTGAATTATAAGAACATTAGATGATTACAATGTATATATATGATACAAAAAGATGTAGTATAGTGAGTTTGGGTACCTAAGCTTATATACATTTAAGGGTATATTCACTTTTCACACACACACACACACACACACACATATATATATATATATATATATATATATATATATATATAGAGAGAGAGAGAGGTAGGTTCATATGTTTACTACAACTATTGTATGCATGTGTGAACCAGTGATAATTTAGCAATAATTTAATTATTAATTAAAATAATAAAAGTAAATTGGTAATATTACATAGATGTATTAATTAATATCCAAAATTAACAATTGATATCCCTTTATTTAAAGGATTATCTTTTATTTATTAAAACTCTACTCCACCTATAAACACCACCACCCATCGTCTTCAAACCGATCACCCACCTCTACCAAAAGATGCCAAGTCTTGAGAATCAACAGCCGGTCCCCTTCAAGACGGCACCGTCGTTTTTGTATACCAGCACCTATGTACCCTCATTATCATCTTGATGTTGGTCAATTGAAGACAATCGATTAATATGAGTGCTAATAATTCCATTCTAGGTACCCTCAACTCCTTTTTTATTTCTCTGTCTGCGTGTGCATAACATCAACAAAGTTTTGATTTCATTTATTTTGTGGGAAATTGTAGGAAGTTGAATGTATGGTTTATATACAATAATAATTATTATTTTACATAAATATGCCGACGCGTTATGTGGATACATGAATACAAAATTTATTTAAAAAAATATAATTGCAATTAACATGTGACGATTCACACTTCATACAATGGAATGAATATATGGACATGGAAATTATCACTTCACACAATGGAATGAGTTATTTAAATTTATGATGTGTTGGTTTTAGTTTGACTTATTATGTGAAAATATTAGGTTTTTGATTTGTTAATTTATGCGAAAAACATAATTTACGTTTAATTATATCCGACCTTTTTTTTTTGGTAATTTTTATGAATAACAAATCAATACTTACAATTTGGTATGTTTTTTATAATATCCGACAAGTATTTGTTGAAATGTCTGAAAGAAAGTCTATAGAATCTAATCATGTAGTATGAATTCTATCATAGTTACTAGCAACACATGTTTTATATAATATTTATATTCTAATAAAATGAACATGTTTTTTGCATTATAACATTGAAGAAAAGTACACATGGCGAACGATAGTGTATTCCAGTAGAATGTATTTTATGTATAAACATTCTCAAGCATAGAATGTATAAATGCATTATATTAGAATGTCTTTAAGATTTTTTGTTAACAACAAGTATATGTGCTTAATTGATAACACTAACAAGCAATGCATGTTATTCTTCCAGAATGAGTTGAAAAATCAACCAAATATTTGATCATACAAGAGAAAAACTTGGAATCGAGTTCATCAAGTATATTTAAGAAGATTTACATTATTACGATAATACATCACATTTTCATAAGAAGAGCTGGAATCAAGTGGATTAATGTGGACCATTGAAGAAGATCAAATGTATTTGTTCAATAATTGTGTATTTAAGAATGTTATTTTTTAAGAATTTTATTCACTTTCATGTTATTTTATTAGAATATGTATAAATATAATGAAATGTATAAAAACAGCTACTAGTGTTTAAGAATATGTATGAATTTATATTTAAGTTTGGATGTATATGCAGAATAAAAGCATAGACCCTCATTATGACTTCCATGTATATGAAGAATGTGTAGAATTCTTAAACCAAGTTAATATCAAAAAAATTTGAATTTGAACTGTATTCTATAAGAATAAAATTGAAAATATTTTACTAGTTTATGGTTGACATTCTGTCAGAATAAATTTGGTTATGATATAACATCACGTTAGAATTAAAACTGAATTTGTTTAAAAAATTTCAAACGACACTCTTCCATTAATTAAATGCTTTTCCTTCTTTATTCCCATAATCATGTGTTGTTATCTCTGACCTTCCCCCATTAAAGCCCACATTCAATTTATCTAGCCATTTTAATTTTAAATTTTGAATCCTAAAATATCATATTCTATATTTACAAAGTTCCAAAGAATTTGGACACATAATAAAAGAAATTATGGCTCAAGTAAAATTTCTACAATATTCTTTCTCTAAATGTTGTTTTTTTCTTACCATAGACCTAATTAGATTTTTTTGTTAAAATAATGTGCCCTCAGTGGAAATAATGGTAATTTTGGGTCTCGATGGTGATGATGATATGATTCATCTTCTCCACATCCTTATTGAATTATTAAACGCCACCATGGTAATCCTCCATTCCATTTCTTTCTATAATTTTTTTTTCCTTGAACCACAATTTTAGGGATTTAGAAGCGGCCTTATCTGCCAAGCATGCTAATATGTCGATTTTTTTTGTAGAATCGAGT